TCCAACTTATAAGAATGTTTTTGACGAGAACAAAACATAGGTCCAACTTATAAGAATTAATAATAGAATTTCCATTCCTCTCTTTTTCTAGGTAAAATATGGCAATAAACCTGTAGATTTTACATTAATTAAAAGTAATAAATATATTCTTTTTTAGCTATTATATCATATAATAATTACTATTAAAACTTATATGGAAGTTACATAAGTGTAAATGCATTAATTTTTTTTAAATTTTTTTGGTAATACATTTACACTTGTGTTGTAACCAGTGTTTTAAATACCAGTATGTACCGGTCAGTATTACCGGTAATATCGGATATCGATGGTCCGACCGGTATGATTACCTTCAAATACTGTTTTGGCCAAACTACCGGTTTATACCGACTTCGAAAATATCGGTTTTACCGGTCAAAATACCGGCTAAAGTACCGGGCATATCGAAGATAACTTCCCTTACTCAATAGAGGGAATATAAGTTTCCTAGTTACTCTACACCGCCATAAGTATGATAAGTCTCTTTATATATGTGACTTTTCCCTTAGTAAAAAGAAGGTCTATTCATATGTTAGAAATCAGATCCTAAAATTGGTGCGTGTTTAATACAGTATCTAATTAGTTAATACAGTATATAAAGAATATTGTTAATACAGTATATAATGTTAATACAGTATATAATATCTTAACTCTTTTAGTTGATGTTGTGGTTAAGCTGTTTCTGGTGCTTCGGAATCCTACTTGGCGAAGAATCATGCTTCGTAATTAGGTTCGGACAAATAATATTGATATATTAATAATTAATATCTAGGTTCGGACATTCCATAAATATTATTTAGCTAACTTAGGTATTTTAATATCATTTCTACTAATATAACCTTTTAGTTCTTTGTAATTTTGCATAGTAAGACACTAAGTGACTAATATATCCCTGAATTTTGATTTGTTTCCTTCAATTAGCTATTGAATTATAAATGTATTTTAAAAGTTGATAACTTTTGTATTTCTTATCGATTTACATATATAATATATCAAATTAATCATCTTTTTATTATCTTCGATTTGACATCCATATTGTATATATAAAATAAATAAATAATATTTACCTTTATAATAATAAAAAATAATATTTATTAAATTTTATTAGAAAAATAAATTATT